GCCATGAGGGAGAGATTTGCCGTAGTCAGATGTTTCCAAGAGATTCATTGATTCCACCCCAAAAAGAAACTGGAAGCTAAATCAGACCCAAAAATGTACAGTGAATAGATTTAAAATAGACTTACTCAAGTTTAGGTTAACTGGCTTGTAAACGCTACTGAGTTCTTATTTCATAGTGTGCATGTCCTCAATTAATCATTTTGTGGTTATTATCCAGCTAGAGTTGAAGAATTCGTTTGGGAATTTTTGTGAATGGATTATCTCAACCTGGGAAACTCACCTTGGCAACTGTAGTCAAAATAAGGAAGATCAACTCAACTTGGTTCTCTCCCAGAACAGGGTCTAAAAAGTTCCAATTCTGTCTGAAAATGTCTGCTTCATATTATAGTAGCCCTAGATCTGAAAAGGGGATTGATATTCCAAGGGAAACCTCACCTCAGTTGTTTTTAGGACAAGTTACCAAAAGATATTTATCTCCCCCAAATATGCACCATGTCTTCAAGGTCTCTGGCCCCATCCAGTTTCTCACATTTGATGCCAGCTCAAGGCCATCCCAAGTACCCTCACCCTCACTGTTCTTAGAGGACATAGACCAGTACTGACCAATAGGAAAAGAATGCAAGCCACATATCATTTTAAATTTTTAGTAGCCACACTTAAAAAAAGTAAAATGAAAAATGAAACAGGGAAAGTAATTTCAATAGGATGTCTCCGTTAACCCAATATATTCAAAATATGATCATCTCAACATGTAATCAACATAAAATATTATTCAACAGACGTCGCCCATTCTTTCTTTGGACTAAGGCTTTGAAGTCTGCTCTGTATGTCTTACACATAGCGAGTCTCCGTTTGGACCAGTCACATGTCATGTGCTCAGTAGCCACGTGTGGCTCCTGGTCTTCCTTTTGAACAGTGCAGACTAAATGGCCTCGTTCCAAGTCCTCCATCCCCAGCTGTGATGTCCTAGATTAGGCCCAGGAACCAGGCCTGGATGCCGGTACCCACCGTGGTATTTGCCAGTGTTCCTCACCTACGAGTCTGAAATGGGCCAAAGAGAGCCAGCCTCTGTGCCCACACGACCTGGATGGGCAGCAGGTGCCAACTCTCCCCGCAGCCCAGCGAGCCGGACCTCGCTTCTTATCTAGGATCTGCTCTCTGAGTGGCCATTCTGAGTCCTGATGAAACAGTTAACTCCCTTTATAAAATTTCTGAGAGGATGTTTTATTTCTTCATGTGAATTAGAAAAGGCTATTTTTAAAATCAAAGAACGATCTTTAGGGGGAAATGCCTTCCTCACCAGTGACCTGTGTGGGCAATTCACCCTTAAGGAACACGGGCCTCCAGAAGCAAAGCTCATCACCGCCAGGGAAGGTGAATGTCAAGCCCTCTTGCATCCACCTAGCCATCCCCAGGTCAGTGGGGGAGCCGGCCGGAGAGCAAGGAGATGAAAGCAGGCTCCTGGAGGGCTAAGTGGGAACACGTGCTGGAGACGTTTCTCTGAAAATCTAATCCAGGGTGTGCAGGAGGCTCAGCACCTCCTGGACCAGGAGGCAGTAATGAGATAATGCGTGAAATGATTTAGCGGCCCCTATCACCTCCTCGTGGGGCTCAGCAATGCCACCATTAGCACTTCTGACACTTAAGACACCCCAGGAGGAGACAGTTATTGTCACCCCAGAGTGAGGAAGGAACCTGGATGCAGGTCCTGAAAAAGGAAAGTCCAGAAACGAATACAGAATGGCAGACAGGGTGTGGTGGGCAAATGCTGCTGATGCCCTCTCAGTGCTCAGGACAAGGCCCAAAGGGCTAAGGTGGCAACTCAGGCACTAACCCATTCTGTGGTTCTCTGGGCTCTCTCAGGGCAGGCTGCTAGCCAAACGTTGGCCTGGCCTCTCCAGCACCCACCTCCATAAGGCCAGCAGTGGATGTTAAGTGACACCGTGCTGATGGAGAGGTGGGCAAGTCCTAGGGCTACCAATCAAGCTATGTATTCTCACGTTCAACAGATGCATATTAAACACCAAGGTCCCAGTTAGCTTCTTAAAAAGATCATCTCAACATGCAAACAACCCGAGTGCCCATCAACACATGATTGGTTTAAGAAGATGTGGTATATATACATACATACATATATATATATATATATATATATATATATATATATACACACACACACACACACACACACACACACAGTGGAATATCAGTCATAAAAAAGAATGAAATATTGCCATTTGCAGCAACATGGATGGATCTACAGATTACCATACTAAGTGAAGGAAGTCACACAGAGAAAGACAAATATTATATGATATCACTTATATGTGGAATCTTTAAAAATGATACAAATGAATATATATACAAAACAGAAACAGACTCACATACATAGAAAACAAACTTATGGCTACCAAAAGAGAAAGGGAGGGTGGGAGGGATAAATTAGGAGTATGGGATTAACAGATTAAAAGCTATCATACATAAAATAGATAAGCAGAAAGGACCTACTGTAGAGCACAGGGAAATATATTCAATATCTCATAATAACCTATAATGGAAAATAATCTGAAAAAATATATATACATATAACTGAATCACTTTGCTGTATGCCAGAAACTAACACAGTGTTGTAAATCAACTATGTTTCAATTAAAAAAAGATAATCTTCCCCCCAACTAATTGTGTTTTAACCAGTTTTGGAATCCTGAATCTGTGTTCTCTCTGCTCCTTTCTCCCTCCCTTGCTCTCTATCTATTCTCTGGCTTGCTGAGTGTTCCTTATATGAACAAAGTTCTGTGGAGGCACAGAGCACAGAGGAACTAAATCCTGTAGAGCTGTTGGCCAAGCCTTCAGGACTGTGACATAAGAGCCGGAACTGAAAGGTTGGGTGAGAATTTGTCATGTAGAAAATGACAGGAATATCCCACACAGAGGACATAACAGTCATAGAGCAACAGAGCTGAGAGAAGGGTTAGCAAGGTTGAATCCAACCTTAGAGAGTTCATAGGCTGCCCCAGGCCTGCTCAGAGACTGGACCTACACTGAAGGTCTCCTAGCGTCTGTGGATTTCTTTTGGCACATGGCACAGTTGGAATGTGTTTGGTCTCTTCTATAATTTCACTTGCACACCTCTGATTTCACATTTCTTTTTTTCTAGACAAGCACAAAAATAATCCCTGAATTTGACATGCCCAGAGCTTCCTAACATCCTCAGGTCTGTGAGCTATTCTTACAAACGGCATAAGTGACTTCAACATTCCCTACCAACGCAGCTGTAGCACTTTTAATGTTTACAATCCTGCATCACCCTGGGCCTGAGATGCTCTTCCAATTAAACCCTGGTTACACTTCTCTTTCCAAGTGCGAAAGAATCCAATTAAAGTTAATGAAAGTAATCAGTCTGCAAGTCTCAGGGTGTTCTGCCCCATTTGTGAATCCAGGTAATAACACCCACTGACCTCGTGGAGGGAGAGGAGGCGCCATCTTTGTCTGCAAATGAGCCAGACCTGAGCCAGCCAGGGAAACCTGGAATTTAGGAGGTCGCCCTCTTTGGGCTCCCCCACAGAGCTCAGGATCCCATTAAGCATTAACTGTAGGAATCTGTCCTTTAAGGAGCCTCAGACTAATTTGGCTGCCATATGGCTGGGGCTAGCAGCGCCTCCCATAAGCCCGAATTCCTGGGACACCCTACACTTATTTTCAAGAAGCCATTCATTGCATTACTCTTGATTTTCTATCTGGCTTCCAAGAAGCAGCTCCCAAAGAATAACACAGTTAGAGCACCAAAAACCTGTGAGATGAAATCAGCTCAAGTCCTCTGTCTGAGCTTGCATGACCCTTCTCCAGCCCCTGGTGCTAACTCTCAGAGCACCAGAGGGACCTGCTGGGTATCAGCTGAGAGGGTCAGCCTGGGACCCTTCAGGAAGCATCAACGGGACGCACGTCCTCATGCCAGAGAAGCCGTGAGAACACCCCTCAGACGCCAGAGACTTATCAGGAGCGTTACTTGTCACCATTCATTCTGGAAGGGCCTGTCCTCCCGGGGCACTCCTTCTGCCCAAGTGCAGCTGAAGAACCACACGTCCACCTCAGCTGCATCTACTCCTCACTGTTCTGTGTTTGTTTTGAAGGCTGACTCACTCGACAGTCATTTCTTGGCATAATCTTGAAGTTTTGACCTCAAAGTTATGGTCTCATGCTTTCTGTTTCCTCAGATCACTGTCTTTAGATGTGAGAATCTGACCCTGGCCCCATCTGATACCACCGAAGGAGCCTGTCCCTGTTCTCGGGGAGCTCGGCTCCGGCTGGGGAAACAAAGCTGACGCTTGTGAGCAGTTGGAAAACCGAACAAGGCAGTAAATAATTAAGTGCTACTCAATCACATAATTGATTAATTATAACTAATTGCTACTTAAATGAACTGTGCTAGCCCACATTGATCTTCCTCGGCTCTGACCTCATACAGTGGCCTTGGTCTGAACTGCTTACTTGGGCATTTGCACACCGTCCAGAACATTCTTCCCATCCTCTCATGGATGAGTCTCCTCTCTCATGACTGGTAGTGTCCTCAAGGGCAGGACCAGGTCTTTTCAGTTTCTTCCTCCTCTGTCTCCCACAGCAGAATCAGCCCATTCAAAGCATAAGGCTCTTTGCTTCATAAACACTTGGTGATTAATGTCAAAAATGTGGACCAGTGTTCATATATCCAATGTGCCCCAGCTTCATGCAACGATGAGTACAAACTAGGGTCACACAACCATAATCAACTTTGCTTCATTACCTTAGCCCCCTAAGCACGTCCTTGGGAATGTCCCATCTTACGTTCCTCTACTCTGTCTTGCGAAGCCACCAGGATAGTGGTTCTGTCATTGGCCACACTGTCCTGGTAGGATCCATCCCGCAGCCACCACTCCGATGGCTCACACAAGACCCTTCTTTCCCCTGTGTGTTGTTTGACGGATGATGCAAAGGAAGGGCAAGCCAGGGCGTTGCCCACCTACCTCCTTCCGCCTGTGCTTCTTTAGGGCTCGAGGTCCCCTGCTAGGCTCTGAGCAGCTTGAAGAATCTCTATTCATCACTGGGTCCCCATTACCTGGAAGTGACACAGCAACAGTCAGCTAGGGCTGTCAGAACAAAATACCACAGACCGGGGAGCTTACACAACAGACGTTTATTTTTTCACAGTCCTGGAGGCTGGAAGTCCAAGATCAAGGTGTTTGACTTGGTTTGATTTCGTTCTGAGGCCTCTCTCCTTGGCTCGTAGGTGGCCATCTTCCTGCTGTGTCTTCACGTGCTTCTCCCTCTGTGCATGTCTCTGTCCTAATCTCCTCTTCTTATAAGGACCCCGGTTAGATTGGCTTAAAATCCACCATATGACCTCATTTTACCTTAATTACCTCTTTAAAGGCCCTATCTCCAAATACAGTCGGATTCCGAGCTACAGGGGTTGAAGATGTCAACCTATGAGTTGTATGGAGGACACAATTCAGCCCAAAACAACCACTAATAGCCTAAGTGCTTAATAAATGTTTTGGGCTTGGTGGAAAAGAGAGAGATGACAGATGGACAGATGGATAGATAGAAAACAGAAAGGCTGCTGAAAAGATAGATATTTGGCCCTGAGCAAAAGGTGGGATTAACAGGTCAAGAGATTCTTTCCTAGTCCTGGGCCCTTTCTACTCCACCACATCCTTCCCTTTCTCACAGCAAGAGATGGGCTTTCCAAGACGGGAATTCCTCTGTTTCCTCCCCAGCCACAGGACAGTGACTCCACGTGTCTCCACGTAAATGCATGGAGTGAGGGCTGCTGTCCCCACACACACCCATGGGTAGCCATCTGGCTCTCTTCTGGGGATAGAACAGAGTACACAGCTCAGGCTGTGGCTTCCTAAGCAATGCCAGAAATGCTAACTCAACACTGAAATGAAGACTTTTTGTAAATAACCAACATCTGAAAGGGAGACAAAATCCCAGAATTGGGGCCTTTTTCTTTCCATGTTCATCGAAATCGTTACTGCTGTTGAACAGGAGCTGTGCTCCCAGCAGCGGGCACAGTCCAATAACTATAGTGGGGCCAGGAGTGCTCGGGGTCAGGAAAACAAAGAGGAGGAAATTGCCTGCACAGATTGGCTCAAATATCAGGTTCAACGAAGAAGAAAACACAATTTGCTCATTTGGAAAATGACTCTGATGACATGAAGGCCCTACACGTTGTTGGAATTCAGTGAGAAACAGGGCAACAGCATGGGGAACCCCGCCCCCGCCCCCCCAGAAGAAAAGACAGCACCCTGCTTTTAGACCAGAGAACAATTCTGTGGGCCGAGCAAGTGGACAGCGGAAGAGACCCTGTGTCGCATTTATGAGTTTAGGTCTTCAGGTCCACAGATCAGCAGGGCTCCAAGGAGCTCTGAGTCCTTGTGTTGGGACAGTGTCTTTGAAGGTGTCCTTGGCTCGAGCTCCAAGACAGGCAGCATTGCCCAGGCACCTCCAGGAAACAGACCCCCCACCTTTATTTTTTTTTATTTTTATTGGAGTATAGTTAAGTTACAATGTTGTATTCGTTTCAGGTGTGCAGCAAAGTGAATCAGTTATACATATACATATATCCACTCTTTTTTTTTTTTTTAGATTCTTTCCCATATAGGCCATTACAGAGTATTGAGTAGAGTTCCCTGCACTGCAACAGGCTCCTTTGAAGGAAAGCTTCGGGGTGTCACCAATGGGATCCTCATCACTCAGCTGGGACATTGGTGTGAGCTCATGCTGCATCTGCATCCATCAACCATTCTAGGACCCTCTGGCAAGTTCCTTTCTCTTCATTTCTTCCTCTGCACAGTGTGACATTTAAACCTGTGCTGACCCAGTACAGAGAAGCCAGAGAGAGGCTGTGAACGGTCATCATGCTAGGTGGCTTCTGGGTCAGGGTGTCACCCACCTAATTTGCCCAGGACAGTCCAGGTTTACACCTCTGGTCCCAGCATAATCATTAACATCCAAAGTGTCCCAGTTTGAATACTAAATTAAACAGGTATCCCAATTCTCTGGAATTTTACAGGACCAGATCCCCACTCTTCCATGCCTTTCAGCCATGACTCTCCTGATGGGCCCAAGCTCCACCTGGAAAAGACACCTCGGATCAGAGGCCTTTACACAGTGCAAGCAGGTCCTCCCTTTGGGAATTAGGAATAGAGGAGCAAGGAGAAGATCACCGCGGGTGTGGGACATCACTCAGCCCAAGGTTGCTGTGCAGTCAGTCACGCATACCGAGCACATACGCCATTGTCTCCATGGTCTGGGGGTCCACCGGCCTCCCAGCACCCCCCCCACCCTGCCCCTCAAGGTAGAGCCTAGCCAGCTTCCTGGAGATGAGCCCCTCCCCCTCTCTCCTCAGGCTCCCCAGGACCTTGGCAATTAAGCCTCAAATGTAATCCAGACACATCTCTACCTTTAGATCCTGCCTGCTGAGGCTTAACAGATCTACCCTCAGATACAGAAACAAAGAGTTATTTCCAAAGTACAATTGGGGTTCTTGTCACCACCAGGGGCTAGCGACGAGCAGGGAATAGGAGACGGTTTTGTGAGGGAAGTGATCTAAGTTGGAACTTAAAGGATAGGGAGGCTTTAGATCAGTGGGAGGAGCGGGAAGAAGGCCCAGGGACGTGAAGGCACTGATGTAGGGAAGAGTGAGGAACTGGCCATCAGCAACCGGCAGCAGAGGGCATGGGGACGGGGATCCGAGGTCAGGCCCTGACCACGTCCCTGAGAAGCCCGGGCCACCTCACAGCCGCTCTCCAGCTCCCACAGACCCTGCCATCTGTGCCGTTCCACTTAATGACACTGTCTGGCATTTGATTGACTCTTAAACATAATGCTGCTATTGTGGACAAAGTTCAGTGTCGTTAATTAAGTCATTGAAAATCAAAATAAAACGCACAGACTGAACTGTTCACAATCATCCAGTGAAACAGAATGACTTTCTAATCTGTAAAAAAAAAACAATTGCACATCCTCAGTCTCCTCCCAGGAGTTTCTGACCAGGCTGGGCAATTAATGGGTGAGTGGGCTCCGCAGAGCCCAGGGAGGCCTGTATCTGCTCCTAGCATCCTTCACTCATGGACGTGACCTCACGGTTTCTGCTGCTTTCCTTTGTGCAGGAACTGTGTGTTTCAGCCTTTAAGATTCCAATTTTTATTCTAATTCACGTTTTGTTTGTGAAAGGGTGCTCAGCAGCATAAAGATGAAGTTAGCTAAAGACAGTGTTTCCTTTGCCCACCTGGAGAAGGCACTAAAATGTGCGTAATACCTACCACTTTAGAAATAGGAAGAAAACAGAAAGGATTCTTTTAATCCCAACAACTATTTAAAAGATAAATACAAGTGGAATTATACCAACTAACTGTATTACCAGCAGTCAGTTGCTGGAGAATAAACATTCTTATTTCCAGGGTGTTCTACTATATTCAGAGACATGGAGAATGGCACCAGAAGAATTTATCACTGACTTTTGCTAAATTAGATATTCCCGAGGTCTGCCTATATGGATGCCAACATTTTTAGCACTTCAAGGTCCTTGCAAGAAAAAGTCTCTATAAAAATTCAGGACGGTATTGTTATCATCAACACTTTAAAATTGACTGTGATTGTTACAGCAGTTTTAAAATCAAAGAGACCTAAAAAGAAGGGGGAAATTATATGTGTACTCTGTATTTGAATTTTTATACATGAGATTTAAAACATAATATCGTGATGTTTATTTCAGATAAATTTGTTTTCACCAAAGACTTTTTTCTGAGCCAAAGTCGATGCAAAGTTTATCGAAGACCTCGCCAAAAAAAGAGTTTATTGAAGACCCATCAGCGAGGTAACATCCATCAATAACCTGCCATTAACCACCGTGTCATGTTTGACAGTTCAGCTCTCAACCTGTTTAGCTGTGCTTTCCATTTTGGCTGCTGTCCTAATTAATAACTAATCTATAAAACGGGGATAATAAAACATACCTCATACATGCCACATACATAATTATAAGGAGTGAATCATGTTGCACATGGTACCTGGCACAGTAGATGCTTGGTAAGTGTTTGAATTTTATGTTTCTTTTTACTTTTCCCTGGCATTTTGTTAATGCTTATGATCTTTACTCTCGGGTTTCCAAGGCTATTTAGAAATAAATAATAACAAAATCGGAAGATCTTTTTATATGATAAAATCTCCTGTTGGGGCTCTATCCCAAAAGCCACTCAAAGGAATCAGAAGCCTTGGGTATCGGTTTGAGGCTTTTTGGCTGGGGCTCCCACCCGTCAGAGACTTGAGACCAAACTTTCATGGTCACCATGGTCCAGCTCTATCCCAGCGGATAACCAGATTAAAAACCTAGAAATGGACTGAATCGCAAACATATTTATACTATTTTACTAGAAATGTACTTGTACTCGTGCATCATTTTTGCTTCCTTCCCTACTTTGGATTCTCAATCTTCTGCTTTAGGAAAATTCTCAAAATTACGATGGATGCCTGCAGCCTCCCCCCAATAGCAGATCTGGGCTTCCTGGTCATCTGTTCCCTAATCTTTCTCTCCCCTTCCTCCTCCAGTGACCCATCATCTGTACTTTTCTCTCTACTAACTCTGTTTACTAAAACTATGCAACCTCCAGAATTCAGAAACAGTGAATTCCTTAGGTTAAGGGCTACGGCTGGCATTGAAATAGTCTATAGGTGCTGTCAATAGCTGGTTCTCAACTAATCATCTTTGTATGGAACTGATCTTTTTTGTTACTGCAATGCTGTCAGCAGACAGTAACAATGCTGAGATTTGGGGTCTAGACATTATGTTGGTGCCTGCAGTCAAGCTTACTTTCTGAAAGATGAGCCTTATCCAGACCATCTCAGCTCCAGCCACAGCTGGCCCTTCCACAGTGCCATATGCAGACATGAGCCTGGCACAGGGGATACGGAGCTTCAGCCAATGACCCAACCCTCCAATAGTCCAGGACAGCTGTTAACAGGGGCATAAAGAAATTTGTAAACCTGCTATAAAGCTTAAATAAGAGTTTAAACCTTGTTCGTGTCTGAACTTTTTTTCTTCCCAAATTT